ACACATGCACGTTAATATAAATCATGTGGATAATTATCGCGTTGGGAATAACGACGAATGCGTCGTGAACTACTTGAAGCAGAGTAAACAAGTGAATCTCTTTAAATATGATGCAAATTTTGATGAAAAACGATTGAAGAAAAAAAGGAAAGCCTTTAAATTTAATTTTGAGTATCAATTTAAGGTTACTGAGTGTAAGGACAATAATTTGAATATCCTCATGAAAGATATTTGCGACAATTTTTGTGACCTTTCCGAGAATTATATGGAGAAGGACATTCTGGTTTTGCAGCTTGGGTCGTATTGTGTTTCGGCTGTGTACTATTGGCATGTGTTTCATCACTACAAATTTTTTTTCACCAAATATATTTACTTGCGTCTACTCGATTTGTACAAGAAGAGCAAGGATTTGTTTCGCGAGCCGCTGCTCCTCGCTTACGTGTTGTCCAAGCGGCTGAACAAGGACCTGTACCGCGACTTTGTGATTCTCATGAACATTGACATTTCGCAGATTCAGAACAAGCTCCCTGAGTCCGACTTGCTCGTTCGCTGAGGTGGGTAACTCCACGTGAAAGCTTTCGCGACTGCACATTTTGAGGACTGATTACCCATTTTGAGAGTGTAACTGCGCTGGGGTGAAGGTTGCTTACAAGGATACCACGCTTGCTTTTCGCCAGCCACAAAACAAAAAGGGGATGCCACAACATACATGCGCACTACACACCCGAGTGCTTCTTATCCCCGCTGTGCAGCTCACACCGCACTATCGGGTGCGACTATTCCGAATTGACCTCCTTCAGCATGCCTCCACAGCGATGTAGCTCGCCCAGCATAAAAGTGGACCTATAAAATTTCCCTCCTACTCTATCCTTCACTGTGGATTCCCCTACGCCTTTTTTTTTTTTTTTTTTTTTTTTTTTTTTCCCTTGCAAGAGAAAAAAAAATGCATAAAGGAACTTCCCTAAACTGTACACATTTGAATGGCATTTCGTTCAACTGTAATTTTTCCTTAAAAGTGAAAGAAGATGATTTAGTTTTGAAGTGGGCACGTTTGGAGAAGTGGCCACTTTTTCCATCCGCACTCTCTGGGTATACACGTAAATGCAAAATATGCGCACATCTTGAATTGCATGCAGGTTGATGGGCAAAAAAAAAAAAAATGCTTGCTGAAAAAAGTGGAGCAGCGGTGGGTAAGAGGGTCGTTTTTTTACGAAGAAAAGGCGGCTAGCGAGATGGTCCTCTTTATTCTTCCTAGCGGGGCATGGGCAATTGAAAGCTGTGCATTTTGGCACATATACACTCAAAATTTTAATGAGTAGCTTAGGGTTTAACATGCTTTATGCTTACAAGCTAGCTCACAATTTTACACAAAGTTGTTTTGCTTGCATTAAAAAATTTACCGATGCAGGGACCGCAAACTGGTAAGCACGCCATTTAAGAGAGGCACACAGTGCATATGCCACCCCCTCACCTGCTCATTTGTCTTTCCGTCACGATCGATAAGGTGAACTAGTGCGGAGGCCATGCCCACAGGATTGTAAGGAAGTGCACAATTTGTACCGCAGAGATAATACACCTTGTAGTTTTTTTTTTTGAACAGAGCGACGAAGACGCATGCGCGCGATCGAAAAGAGGCAGAGTAAGTAGTATGCGCCGCAAAGAAGCAGTAACACACCCGGAATAGGCAGAAAGGTAGAATTGAAGGCACCCGCGTAGGGGCCCTGACTGAGAGGTCTAATTCGTGGGTGTACCGCGTTTGGCCGTCCAGGGGGGGAGGGAAAAAAGGGGCCGCTCAGACCATTCGCCATCTGATGAAGAGGCTGCCAAAGTTAGATGCCAAGTTAGCCATCTCACTGGTCTCCGCGTTAGCCGCTGCATTAACTACCGTCTAAAGTGCCTCTTTGACCACCTGTTACAACGCCACATAAAGGTGCAGCCCCCCATGGGGACCTTCAACTTTGGCAAGTTCAACGGGAAGACGTACGAGGATGTGTTCGAGAATCACAAGTCCTACGTGACATGGGTGATGAATCTGGAAAAACCTACAGGGTCGATACTCCACTTCAAGGAGTATGTCCTGGAGAGGGAAAAGGGGGAGCAGGGGCAGCCCTCCTTGCCAAGGAATTTTGGCAACGAGGGTCACTTTGGCAGCAAATCCCCCGCGAGCTGCTCGCGCGGCCAGGGCTGGGAAGGTGGCAGCTATAATGGACACCAAGAAAGTGGAGGAGGGGACACTTACCGAAGTAAAAACTCGTTTGATAAAACAGCCAGTGCAGTGGTTACAGGAGTGGGTACTGCTAGACAAAGTAACCAAAAAGAGGGATACTATGAAGGAGCTAAATCAGTACAAAAAATGAATAGCAGAGAGTATAAGTCGTACGAGCAAGGTATAATGAATGGAATAGCCCAGAGCTATAATAAGGATGAAAAGGGAGAAAAAGTCGAATTCAACATCATAGTAGCATTTGAAATTTTCAGTGAGGACACATTTAAGATTGTTCAAATGGATAATAACAACCTTGGGGGGATTAAGAAATATGCTAGCTTTAAAAATTACCTCCCAAAAGAGTTTTTCAAAATACTATCTGAATTTAATCCAACCTTAAAAAAGATGAACAACTCTTCCTGCATCACGTTCGAAGCAGATAAGTACGAATATGTGTTGTCCAATTTGAAAGAGAAGTGTACTATCTTGGGAGGTATACAGAGCATCCCTAATTTCCTTTTAAAGTGTTTTCAGCAGTACAATCGATTTTCAGAGCCACAAAATATTTCCGAAATGACTGCAAGTATTTTGACGAATACTTTATGTCCATATACGAAAAAAAATTATGACCAAATGGACATCCTTGTGGGAGAAAAGCTAAGTGCAGAATTAAGAAATTTTCAAAGAGAAGGAGTTTATTTTGGTTTAAAAAAAAATGGACGAGTGTTAATAGGGGATGAAATGGGATTGGGAAAAACATTACAAGCGTTAGCTCTCATGGCCTTTTATCAGGAGGACTGGCCATTCATCGTTGTTTGTCCATCATCCATCCGCTTTCAATGGAAAGACCAGGCACTACGATGGTTATCTCATTTGTTGTCTGAAAATCAAATCTGTGTTGTAAAAAGTGGAAAAACTGATATCCCTAGGAATTGCAAAATGATTATAATTTCTTACGAATTAATTACCAAAAATGACAAGTATCAGAATAAGTACAAATCGATTGTCTGTGATGAGTCTCATTATTTGAAAAATTCCTTTTCAAAAAGAACAAAAGCGATCACCCCAATTATTAGGAATGCCAAGAGGTGTGTCTTATTATCAGGTACCCCAGCTTTGAACAAACCATCTGAATTATATGAACAGGTGGCTAGTATTATTCCTGACCTTTTTAAGTATCATGAGTTTTGTGAAAGATATTGTTTTAAGGACAAAAATATTTACACGAGAAGGTTCGAATATGTTGGATGCAAACACACAGAAGAGTTACACCTATTTCTGACCAACACGATTATGATAAGGAGATTGAAGAAAGATGTTTTGAAGGAACTTCCAGAAAAATTGAGGTCCAAAATTCCAGTGGAAATACCCCCAAAAGAGTTAAACGAAATTATTAGCTACCAGAGAATGTTAGAGTCCAGAAAAAATATCAACATTGGGGATGATTTGAACGATCTGCCACAGTTAAGCGGCGGTAATGAGTACGAGTATGGCCAAAGTAGTATTGATAGTCCGAACAAGGATGACGAAGAGCATCTGTCCATTTCGCACCTATTCAAAATAACGGGTTATGCAAAAGTGAAAGCTATAAAGGAGTACATCACCTACCTTATCGATGCGGACATTAAGTTTCTTCTCTTTTGTCACCATAAATTAGTGATGGATGAAATTGATGATTTTTTAACAGACAAAAAATCAAGGTTTATACGAATAGATGGATTAACACCCATGGATAAAAGAGAAGTGTACATTAAGAGTTTTCAAAATGATGACAATGTAAAAATTGCATTACTGTCATTGACTGCCTGTGGGATAGGGTTAAATTTAACTGCTGCCAATACAGTCGTTTTTGGAGAATTATTTTGGGTACCTGGACAAATTATACAAGCAGAAGATCGAGCACACAGAATTGGTACCACTCATGATGTTGTTAATATTCATTATTTAGTTGCACAAAATACCATTGATGAAACTGTTTGGAGAATTATTAACAGAAAGTGGAACACGCTCACCACGGCCTTGAATGGAATGGAAGATTCACTAAATGTGAAGGAAGTAAATAAGTTCGACAAATTCATGATAGACCTAACCAATGATACGAATAAGTCCTATCCCACCTCGTTGGTCACGACCCCCAAGGTTAGGAGAAAGTCATCCGAGTATAACAAATCATTTGAAAAAGGCAATAGCGCCAAACGGGATAGGGACATACGGAATTATTTTAAGCCGTGTGAGAAGTCAGACGAAAAGTCAGATTGTGCCAAAAAGAGGTCGTGCGACACTCCAATGAATTATACCTCTTCTGACAGCAGCTCCCCACATATTTTCAGCAAACGGTACAAAACGGAGTTCGCTGGGGAGGAAGAGTAGCTGGGACACCCCTGTACCTGTGTAGCAACATCTGCGTTCACTTCGCCAAGTTACACATGGCGGAGAACGCGCAGCATTGCAAAGGAAACAGCGTTACGCGCATGTGCATAGGCATCTGTGAAACATTGGGGAAAAAAAAATCATAACATGCACATTGAGATGTATAAGGCTGTTTAACGAAAAAAAAAAAAAAGGTGTTCCCCAAGAAAGGTGCCCCCTTTTGAACAGTAGCAAAGGGAACATTTATTTGTTTTCATAAAAGTAGTCTCCTCTTTTTAAAAGTTGCGCATTTTATTTTTAAAACACCTGTGTGGGTACTTCTCCCCTTAGAGTCATTGCAGTCAGCTCGTGCTTGAATAAACATATGCACGAGTTGA